AATGAGCTCCGAATGAGCGCCGCGTTGTAGGACCCCAAAAGAGGGGCGACCCGCGGCCGCATCGGTAGGAGGCTTATCACCCCCCTCATGAAGGGCTGTCTCTTATACACATCTAGATGTGTATAAGAGACAGGCGTTGGTAGGAGATTTATCACCCCTCATGAAGGGTCATAAGCCCCCCCCTTGCGGCCGCGGGTCGCCCTTCTTTTGAGGTCCTACAGCGAGGCACCCAGTCTATCAAGCTCGACGCAGGTAATATATGAGCTGTCTCTTATACACATCTAGATGTGTATAAGAGACAGCTGTAGCATAGCGTGTGTGTGTGTTGCGTATGATACTGATTGTTGCGTGTGGGACATCCAGGGTGATCCAGAGTGCGAACAGTGAGTTGTGTGGGCGCCCAGTCGCCATAGCCAGTTGAGAGAACTCATATCTGGTTACGATATCTTAAGTACTGTCAGGGCGCATGTCGCCAGTTGCTGTATCGCTGTTTGCATGCAAGAYAAGTGTGAATAATCGGAGTGTGATTGCATTTTATTGTGGTGAGTTTTTATTTTTTATTATTTTTTTTATTATTATTTTTTTAAATTTAGGATGCACTCTCCGAGCTGGGTCCAACGCTTGTTCTGAGCTGGGCCCAACCTGGGGCGGGGTCCCACTAGCGAAGAGGATCGAATTAGGAGCCTGAATCTGGATAGGTTCTTGTCGCAGATGCAGAAAAGCAGATCAGTCACGGTGTTCTGCATCTGTCCTCATACACGTCCAGATTCAGGCCTTTCAAGCCAAACCTCTTTGCTAGTGGGGCCTCGCCCCTGGATAGCAGTTCGCATTGATGAGCATTCCCACTCTGCACTCAGTACTTCCTTTTTTTTTTTTTTTTTCCCTTTCGGTGTATCCATGGAATGAGAAGTCGGATCCGAAGCCATTGAAATTCACTTGCCTTTTGTTTGAGCCGCATGCCAATTGTTGGAAGAGAGGTCTCTAGAGAAAATGCTAAAGGATAGTTTAGTCTGGTATATATTACACAGGATCTGCTCAGTCAATCCCCTGGGTTGCAGGGCAATCAATGCACTATTCTCATAGGGTCTGCTCAGTCAATCTTCTGTGTTGCAGGGTCATCAATGCTGGCAGATCTCACAAGTCACTGTTCTCACCTTCTCAAGACATGTTTCTTTCAAGGGAAGCTGGACCCGTTTTCCAGCAGGTGACGCTCCCCACTAATAGATGAAGCCTCTCCCCAGGTGTTAGTGGTGTCTGCTCTTACCAGCAGCACTAACACTGGTGGGGGTGTTCTTTTTGAAAAAAAAAAAAAAAAAAAAAAAA